CTCTCTCTCTCTCTCTCTCTCTCTCTCTCTCTCTCTCTCTCTCTCTCTCTCTCTTTAAATGCAATGCCGGCTAAGGTGCAGTCTTCACGGATAATCACTTTCTTGAGATTTCGTAATTCCTTTCAACTACCCTGGAAACATTCCTCCATGTCCTGCTGACAGATCTGGTTTAGAAGGCTTTGAGGTTTGTCCAGAAAGGCATTTGAAAATCCTGATACGAAGGGGTCTGTTGACTGTCTCTTTGTGTTATGCCATGTGCACAGGTCAACGCTGAGCTGACACAGAGTGCTGCCACCAGATCCATTGTTGGGAGTGAAAGCTGTGTTGATTCAGGGCAAAGACAAGGACGGAAGAGGGGACGGGAGCAGGACCGGTACAGGGAAAGGTCAGATGTGAGTGGCATCAATGAGGTAAGACGACAGAACGATGCCACAGAGCCACTGCTGGAACAAGGGGAGATCAGTACATGGGATGATGCTGATCGCCGAGAGGAGGCGGAGCTCGCAATACGGAGTAGGCATCACAAGCACCGTGGCCAAGTGAAGACGGAGCGATGGGGAGTTATGGAGGAGGCAGAGGATGAGATAGTGCTTCAGAGTAAGGCAGCGCTGTTCTCGGAAGAGGAGGAAAGGCGAACCAGGCATGGAGAGAAAAAAGGGAAAGAGAGAAGATGGGAGAGGAATCTCCATGAGGAACCTGAGATGGGACTGAGAGGTGAGCATGCAAAGGTGGATTTCAAGGAGGAGCGTGGGAGAGAGAGGGAGAAAGACGGAGGATGGAGCAGGGAAAGGATCAGAGAAGTAGAATGGGACAGGGGCATGGAAAGGGAGAGGGAGAGAGAGAGGGAGAGGGAGAAGGAGAAGGAGAGGGAAAGGGAGAAGGAGAGGGAGCGGGAAAGAGAGAGAGAGAGGGAGAGGGAAAGAGAGAGAGAGAGGGAGAGGGAGAGGGAGAGAGAGAGGGAACGAGAAAAAGAGAAAGAGCGAGAGAGAGAAAAGGAGAGAGAGAGGGAGCGGGAGGAGCGAGCACGGGAAAGGGAGAGAGAAAGAGAAAGGGAGAAAGAGAGGGAAAGGAAAAGGGTCAGGGACAAGGAGAGGGAAATGGAGGAAGTGGAAAGAGAGAGAGAGAGGCAAAGGGAGAGGCCAGCCCACATAGGTAGGGAACGGCTGAAGGATGAAAGTGGCAGAGAAAGACACGAATTGGACAAAGGTCGAGGGAGGGAGAAAGATAGGTCCAAAGGGGAGGCAGAGCATATCAGAGAGAGGCTCAGGGACCAAGAAAGAGAAAAGGGGCGAGGGTTGAGTAGCCTCGAAGGGGAGTGGGGGGACAATGATAAGAGCAGGCATGTCTTGCCTTCAGGCTTGGAATCCGGAAGAGTTGAAGTCGACAGTTTAAACCTCCGAAAATCTCGGAAACATGCTCACTTTGAATACGTGCGCAGTGAGGCCAAAAGCATTTCAGCGATAGGTGAAACATCTTCCAGACGGCACAACTGGGAGGGAACACGGTGGGAACCGGTCTCTGAAATCGAAGGTGGTACTGTCACTGTCCCACTGTCTCTCCCTGTGGTCACCGAAGACGACCTTACGGTGGACAAAGGCAAGCGGTCAAAAGCTAGGTACGGTAAGGGAGACGAGTTACCCTCCCATCGCTCAACAGGAGCGGATGCCGGGAGCAGCAGGCCGGTGATATTGAGCTCTGTCGTGCAAGTTCGGGGTTCTGATGAGATTTCGGATCATGAAGGCGATGCGGATGTTGGAGCGAAGGGGCACAGAACCGGTGGGCCAGAACACAGAGGCAATTCCGTTCGGCAAAACCCGAACAAGCATAGTATTTTCGGTGCCCCGGGTGTCATTGTGCCAGGGGGTGGAGGCCTTGTAGTTGGAGGTGAGCTTAAGTCGTCGTTTCCAGGAATAGGCGCTTTGAAGGAGAAGAAACTGGCAGGAGGGCAGAAAAAAACTGCACGGAAACGCCGCTGGGGTCCGGCCTGATTGAGCAGGTACGTCTGGTATGAGGCTGACAGCAGTCGAAACACATTGAGGACTTTCCGGAATGCATGTGGCGGTAATCACATCTCTCTGGCCAGAATCACTCCTACTGTGAGCGCAACTTAGGAGGGCAGAAAATGCCGCCTGCACACAAACGCTGCTGGGGTTCGGCCTGAGTGAGCAGCATCCACATCTGGTATCAGACTGAGTGCAAGCAAACACTCTCTGGAATCCATGCTCTGCCGTAATCGCGACATTCTGGAACGTGTCCGCGGCCACAACCACTCCTATTTTGAGCACAAAACTTTGGGTCAGTCCCCCGTGCCGAGCCTTACGGCTGGAGTTCTACCAGCTTGCAGTTGTCGTCTTCACGTTACACAACTGCAGCCATATATGATCTTCATCGAGGAAGAAAAGACTACCCTTGAGGGACCCCAATTACGTGTGTTGAATGAGCATTTAGCTTAGCCCCATCAGTTGTGGTCAACTTTCAATGCTTGGTATGTAGCATGTACCATTAAGAAGACAGAAATAGGTCGGTGTGATTTGAATTTTGAAATTTGAACTGATTTCTTTCGGTTTTTCCTGTATTGTTCTTTTCTTTCTCTTATGTGGAGGTCGGTGGTAGTACCGGGGGCACGTTCGCTTTGTTCCTCCTATTGCGAGGGTGTGAGGGCGCGAAGGTGGTGAGTGGTGAGAACTCCGAGATGGGCCTATTGGGTGTCCCAGGCACTGTCCCCCGATGAGCGCCAAAAGATGTCGTGTTGATTTGTCGAGGATACTGGCATCAGCCCCTTTCCAGGGTTAAGGGCCTCTCCCACTATCCCATGGTGGCGACTCGGAGCAAGGGGGTTCATGGTGGATATCTAATATCTATCCAAAATTGTTGTGTACCTCTTAGTTTCCAGGTGTATTCTCCCACTATCCCATGGTGGCGACTCGGAGCAAGGGGGTTCATGGTGGATATCTAATATGTATCCAAAATTGTTGTGTACCTCTTAGTTTCCAGGTGTATTCATAACACTCCAGCAGTAGTGAGAATATAAGCGATGGTGCCTTGAGTCGGACGCAGCTTGATGCAGTCTCAAGGTGACTGTCATGTGGCCAACATCTCTTCATCAGTTGTCCGTCCATCTGCGAGTTTCATAAAGGTGGCATGAGATCTTGTACTGTAAATCTGCCTTGTTTCTTTTTCTTCGTTGCCTCACCCCTCCTCCTCCTCCTGCTGTGTTGCTATTTGCTACTTCTTTTCTTCTAATTCTAATTCTCTGTCTTTTCCACCTCCTCGACCTTAACTCGTCCGCCTCTGGAGAGGGAGTCAATGAGGGTGGCAAGTCTTCTGCATTCGAGGTTTACAGTACAAGTCACAGGAAATGGACCGTGCTTTGTGCTTAATTCATTAGACGAGGTGCGGAAGGAGGGATGCGGCATGTGATACTCGTAATGGGGACCCTGTTAATTTGTGCATATAGTTTGGAACGTGGGCCACGGACAAAGGTCGGGGAGGTTGCGGGTGAACGTGGGCCACGGACAAAGGTCGGGGAGGTTGCGGGGTGTTGAGTTCTCGCATCTCCTCGTTCCAATAAAGGGGAGCTCGTTGCTATTGCGCTGCCATGTTACGAAGAGGACGAACTTGTCATCATCATGTCATTGTACAGCTGCAGGTCCTTGACAGCTCTTCTTGCGTCTTGCAATTCACTTCCCCATTCTTTGTGTTTCTTTAGCTGTATTGCAGCATGTTGTCCTCCATTCCTCGGTCCTCGCATCGCTCCCCTCCCTCCCCCCTGCTCCTCCCTCCCTCCCTTGCTCTATGTGGTTCTGCTGCTAGGTCTGAAGAGTGCTTTGGTGATTCCACTGATTTGAATCGGATGAGTGCTTGTTGTGGAATCGCTCGACGCTGTTTGTTTTGACGAGGGTAGAATGGAATCCTCATCAAGTGAACCATTTGAAGGGTGAATATGTTGTTTTTTTTTATACTTTTTTCACCATTTGAATTGGGGCATGAATGTGATCCTAAAACCCAGCTTTCTCCCGGACGCTGCCTCTGAAACACAGTTGTATACACGAAGGGCCTCCTACCAGGGTGGTAGTGTGGCTTAGATCGGCAGCACAAAACATCTGCAGCCGAAACTCACAAGAACCATCGCAATGGCCAAATCGAAGCCACCAGCGGGAGTTCAGTGACTCCTGGGTTGGGAAGAACAGCGCGTGCAATCCAAGGCCCGGGTCCTACAAGTGTTGTGCCCACTTCCATTGCCCAGAAAACATGGTCCTGGTGCAAAACTGGCCGGAATCATGTCACCTTTTTAGCACAGCCTGCACAGGCCTACCGTTTTCACCCGAATAGAACGGGCGGTCATTGTAGCTGTATTTAGACTGAAAGTTACACCAAATACAGCTATAATGACCGGGCATTCTATTCGGGTGAAGACGGTAGTATCCGTAAATGTGGGTCCGAGCAACTCCGAGCAAAGGCCAGACTCGACTGAGCCCCTCCTCTGGGCACGTTTTTCAAATTTTCTTCTTTTCTCTGTAACCCGTAGTAAGTTATGAACACGAGTTTTCCCTACACTATTAAAATCACTAACGTGACAAATCTAAAATCCGGGCCGTCATCGGTCCTACCGGCCCACGACCCAGATCGACCGAAACATGTAACAAATCTGGCATCTGGCCGTCGGGTCTTACCGGATCGACGGGCCGGATTGGCGCGCAGTCAATCCAGGCCGTTGGCCCGGTACCTCGGGATCGAGGCCTTTCGCTGGGAACCGACCGGTTTGCCCATTGGAGCAGGCCATTTTTTTGCACGGGCTTCCCAACGGGCAAAGTGGTTTCCGTAGGCTGCCCTTTTGGGTGGCGGCACAGGAAAATCCTACGCACGTCGGCACAAACGTTTTTGGTGGCGGCACGGGCAAATCCCACGGCATGGGAAAGATCGACCCCTACGCTACTCTACGCTCGGCTTTCACTTTATTACACTCTACACTACGACGCTCGACTGCGACTTCACATCTGTCTGGCACACACACACACACACACACACACACACACACACACACACACACACAAACACACACACACACACACAAACACACACACACACACACACACGACATGGTGAGACTGTCAGGGTTCAACCTCCTGATGAGTTGGTGGAAGTCCGACGAAACAGTCTGGCTTCGTCGTGCTTTTTTTTATGGATATAGCGAACATAACGACACAAACACATACACAAACACACCTACAGAGAGAGAGAGAGAGAGAGATGGGACACGTCTTGCAGCACAAACTACTAGGCTTGATCGATCGATCGGGGCATGATAGCGGGGGGATATTGCTGGGGTATTTCGTTTTGCGGGCCTACTGTATGGTTCCGTTTTTTGACTATGGATATGGTAGATTTGTTGTGGTATTTAAGAAGACATTAGAGAAAGGACAAGGGAAGGGAGGCGTATTAGTCAAACAAACTAAATGACACATCCCATTTTTTATGTAATTTTCCCCGTTGTTGGGGTATTTTGTTTTGTTGTGGTAATCTTGTCTGCATCCCGGTTGGTTTTGTCCCGTATTCGGTCTATTTTGCAGCAGGTAGCGGTGCTTCATGTGGGACCAGTCATCCGGGCTTTTTTATTGTTTTGGCATCCTGGTTGGTTGTTTCCCATTGTTCGGCCTTTTGGAAAGCGGGGCGGTGCTTGCATGTGGGAATCATCATCCAGGATTGTTTTTCATACCCGTCTTCCGGGTTCTTTTTGATTTTTTTTGCAGACAAGAATGCTTGACATCCTGGTTGGTCTTGTCCCGTCGTTTGGCCTGTGGGCAGGGGGGGTGCTTGCATGTGGGACTAGTCATCTGGGATCTGTTTTGTTGCCCCCTGTTCTGTTTTATTTGGCTGTTCCCTTCCTCTCTTCTTTGCCTCTTTGCCTTTTGGCTGTGTGCAAGTGGGTCGATATGACACATGGGGGTGGGGGCAGCCGCCGCTCCAACCTACATCCACGTGGGCGGCCTTGTACGCAAGAGGTTCTGAACAGGGGAGTTGTAAGGAAGAAGATTAAAAATGAATCAAGTTTTTCGTGCTTCTGTTTTTCGCTTTGGCGCTCTGATATCATGTGACAATATATATCTATATATGAAACAGTTTTTTGCCACAGCCCCTCGTTTGTTGTCCCCTTCTCCCTCTCTGCCTACGGTTTACCGGGCAGCTCTGACGATATATATATATATATACACAGAGAGAGAGAGAGAGAGAGAGAGAGAGAGAGAGAGAGAGAGGTCGACTGCAGTCGGCCGTGAGATGTGGTGGGCACAGTGATTGGCATGCAATATTCCACCTTCGACGCCTGAACGACGCACAAAGATGGGAGATTCAGGTCAGTGGGCCCCCTCCCGCCCCCCCCAAGAACCCCTTCCTCCTCATCCTCCGCCCGTCCCTCCCCAGCCTCCGCTCCTCCGCTGCCCCTCCATCCCCTCCTCCACCGCTGGATCTGTTATCTTAGCGGGAATTCTCTTAAAATTGGGAACTCTCCGCCGCTCCCCTCCGCCAGCGCTCCCCTTCTCTCTCCTCCACCAGCGCACCCCCCCGCCAGTGCTCCCCTCAACTCCCCTCTGCCAGCACTCCCCTCCGCCAGCACTGCCCTCCGCCAGCGCTCCCCTCCGCCAGCGCTCCCCTCCACTCCCCTCCTCCCTTTCGCCATTGCTCCCCTCCCCCAGCGCTACCCTCCACTCCCTTCCTCCCTTTTGCCAGTGCTCGCCTCCACTCCCCTCCTCCCCTCTGCCAGGGCACCTCTCCACTCCCCTCCGCCTGATCCCCTCCACCTGTGTTCCTTGCGCTCTACTTCGCTCCCCTCAACCAGCGCATCCCCCGCCAGCACTCTCCTCCGCCAGCGCTCCCCTCCAGTCCCCTCCGCCTGCACTCCCCCTCTTCCTCCGCTGCTCTTCCACCTATCGGCTACTCCTCCGGCCCTTCTCCGTCGTCCGCCATTCTCCGCCCCCCAGCTGCTCCAACTCCACCTATCCACGGCCCCTCCACCCCCTCCTCCGCTGCTCTTCACACCAGTGCTCCCCTCCGCTCCCCTCCGCCAGCTCACCCCTTCGGCAGCGCTCTAGTGCGCCAGCACTCCCCTGCGCCTGCACTCCTTTCCACTCCCCTCCGCCAGTGGTCCTGTGTGACTACGCTCCTCTCCACTCCCCTCCACCAGCCCTCCCCTCCGCCAGCGCTCCCCTCCACCCCCTCTGCCACCTCTTCCCCACCAGCACAACTCTACCTGCGCTCCCCTGCAGTCCCCTCTGCCAGTGGCTGCCCCTCCGCTTTCCCACCTCCGCTAGAAAAAAGAAAACATGTTAGGCGTGTACTGAGAGAGAGAGAGAGAGAGAGAGAGAGAGAGAGAGAGAGAGAGAGAGAGAGAGAGAGCCCAATCTAAGTAAAGAATGCCCCCCCCCCCCCCAACCCCAACACGATCTATCTGATCCGTGGTCAACAGGGACCCTTAAAAAAATACGAAAAAAAAACGAACACACAGTCGCGCACACGAGAGAGAGAGACCCCGGTCTAACTGACTACGCTGCCCCCCTCCCCCCCTTCCCCTTCCTCTTCAACGCGATCAACTGTAGCATCGATGCTGGGACGACATAGGCCGGTGCTGGAGCTTTGCTCTGTGACCCAGGGGGAGCTTGAGGCCTATGGAGTTATGCCGAGGGTGGAAGGCGTAACCAGATCGTCCAACGTAGTCGGCGCCGGGGTTTGGACCCTGTAACCTGTTTAGGGGTTTGCCACTAAAGGAATTGTCGAGGGAGGAAGGAACTTCCTGTCCGTCAGAACTAGGTTGGTCGGTACTGGGGAGGGTTGTGGTGCCCTGTTACCCTACCAGAGCGGGGTATGAGGCCAGGTGAGTTCTGGTACGAGGACTGAAAGCCGGGACCGACGGTCTGCTTGTTGAGAGGGGGATGGATTTTAGGATATTTGGTATTAATTTCTAGTTTCAACCCCCTTTTCTGAATTCTATCCTGGTTGGCCGTTAGGGGGATTTGAAAATGTTTAGGATTCTGGGGCCTCTATCAACTTTTCCTAGGCTACTTTGTTGTTATACTCAGCGATCTGCGGCTGTTCGATGCCAGAACGACGCTGGCTGGTGCTGGGGTGTTGCCCTGTAACCTGTTGACACAGGAGCGTGAGGCCTGGTAGAGAGATTTGGGGATGCTTTGGGGTGGGCATCTCACGAAACAACTAAGGTTTGCTGCTGGGACGACGCTGGCCGGAGCTGGGGCGAGTTGTGTTGCCCTGTAACCCAGCAGGAAGTGGGGGTGTGAGGCCTGGAAGAGCTCGGCAGGGAGTAAGACAACTTTGAGGAACTCTGGAAGGGCTGGTTAGGGAGCTCGAGATTTTTTGGCGTTTCTTTTACGACCCCGGCGGTCTTCTAAAAAGAAACGAGGAGAGTGGGAGAAGGAGATGGTGGGATATCATGCGTCCTACTAGTGAGGGGGCTAGCTGGTAGGATTGGAAT